TTGGCCATATAGTAAACCCCCCCCCCCAAAAAAAAAAAAGCATGCAAAATAGCTAGCTTATCTACTTGTCTTCTGTTAAGCTGTGTGGAGATATCTTAAGTCTGAATTGAGCAACGAATCAAACCTTATGCCAGGTAGGAAAGTGGAGAGTTGCTTAACAAAAAGCCTAGACTGTGGGCCCCGTGGTTGCATGGTAGTTAATGTGACTGAATCCCACATGAAAGACTGTACAGTTTGAGTCCTGGATCCGGTGGCTTGAGAAATGCAGGGCCACATGTACGTGTGCCCCCCAAATCACAAAAAATCAGAGAATTGGAAAAAAAAGGAATTTCACCATGGCAATTCTAAGATAGGGGGTATGTTTTCTCACTTTCTCTCTTTTTCTCCCTCCCTCACTTCTGTCTCTCTCCAGCGAGGGTACATGCCCTATAGCAAAATCTTAAGGAATATAAAGAAAGAGACAGTATTTGGAGATACTGAAGCCAGTGATATGACTCTTAATCACTCTGTAAGGCTAAGTATAGAAAGATTTTCGTGCCCTTTATCAACTTGCCTATGTCTTCTGCAGAGATTGAGACAAAAATCTCTTGATTTTAAGTCACGTGTTTGTCCTTTATGAACATCTTTCAAGGTACTTTCAAGCCATGATTTCATTACATGGCGTAGTAATTCTATTTGCAATATAAAATACTGTAGATACTTGTTGATTGCAAGAGTTAATCTTTGCTTCGTTTATGAATTGGAGCTGGGGGGCGGGGGCAGCTGGCAGCGTGGCGGTTAAGGTGGTTGCATCCCAACAGCCCATACTGGCAACGTGTGTGCATGCACCCAAAATCCTGAGAGGAGAAATGAAGCAGAAGGGATTGCAGCATGATCATTCCCCATGGGCTGCGTGTTTTCACTTTTCTTACCCACCCTCTCCCTGCAGCAAGCACACAGACCCTCTGGCAAAAAACTTAAAAAGAAAACAAATTACGTATTGGAACTAAAGATAGTTGGTTTTCTGATGTTTTCACAGCCCTTCTGTCACAGTGGATGATCTGAAGAATCTTTTCATAGAAGCTGGATGTTCTGTGAAGGCTTTTAAATTCTTTCAGTAAGTTTTTGCTTTCAAGTAATACAATAACATTATTTAATATAGTATGTAGATTTTTTAAAAGATTATTGATTGAAGTATTCTTGGGGAGTGGGAGGAGTTTGAAACAAAATTCCTTCTAAATAATGTGTCTTAACACCATTTTCAGGAAAGATCGCAAAATGGCACTCATCCAGCTGGGATCTGTGGAAGAAGCGATCCAGGCTCTCATTGAGCTTCATAACCATGACCTTGGAGAGAATCACCACCTCAGAGTTTCTTTCTCTAAATCTACAATCTGACTTTTCTGTGAAATTTTCTTCTAAAATTGGACCATGATTTCAGTAAAACGTTCAGACATAGACTGAAATAGTTCAAGACCACTTTTCTGCCTCTTTCACACAAATTTCTTTGATATTCAAGTGTATTTACAAAATCAAGGGATGTTCTTTTATTTTAGTTTTTTTCATTTTTCTCCCCCTTGCAGTATGTGATCAAAGGTTTGTTTTTCCTTTGTACTGTGGTTTCTTTGACAATAACCTTCAGGAAAAAATTGTTTTCAATAATTTGATTCCCTATATAAATTAGATTTCAAGAGGGTAAGCTTCCTTTTAGTTAGAGTCCAAATCAGCCTTATACAACATTTCTAAACTCCTCTGTACTTGGAAAAATTTTTAAAATATGGACTTCTCAATTCCTTTATTATTATATATAAATGATGACCAAGTAGGGAATTCCTGTAGGAAATTATGTTCACTTATAAATCAGTTCAAATATTTGCCATATATTGATTGTTAATATACATAAGTACACTGAGTTGTATTGGAAGCAGATTTACAAACTGCATGGTTTTTTTTCATTGATTTCTTTATATGGTTTGACAGATTTTTTAAAAGTTATTTTTGGTAAGGTCTTCTTTTAGAAAAATATTAATCTCAAGGGTTTTTTGTACCACTATAATCTCTAATACTTATTCAGAATTACTGTGTATTTACTTAATTTCTTATTACGTGCCTTATTATGTGCTTAAGATACAATAGGTTAGAGTTATCTAAATATCTTGAAAAGTATATTGTGGGCTTGGTGAGCGTTTTTTGTTCTTTTTTTTTTTTTCCTGTTTTGGTAAGGATTTTGAAGTTTTTCATGGCAATTTTAAGTGATTTTTCAATAAGTAATAGTTTCTATTCAAATTTTTGGTGCTTTGGTGCAGAGAGATGGGGTGGGGAAGGGTGAATGGTTCTTGGGAGTATCTCAGTGCACACCTGTAGGCCTCTTTACTTTGTGACTGATAGCGATTATTGCCAGTTATTGGGACTGTAGAATGCAATCTCAGTTTCATTTTATCACCTATCAGAATTTGTCTCAGGATTACTTGTTTCTCAGTGCTCAAGTTAGAATTTGCTTCTTTGTTGATGTAACTTTGTGATTGAGTGTCCACATACTTGGAGTGTGAGAAGGTGGGTTATTTCTAATACTTTGACCCTCTCTCTCTTTTTGGTTGAATGTAAGAATACATTTTAATGTTACTTCATTGATTGTATAATATAAAATTGTTTCTTTTTATTAACAAATGTTGCTTTTGTTAATTATTCCTTCAATGTTTAAATCAGGTATTTTTAAAACAGGATTTATTAAAAAGATCATTTTTGTCCATCCTTTTTTTTTTCTTTTTTACACTTTTAAGAATCTGAAAATGGCTCATTTCTACTTTTAAGGGGACATCTCAATCGTTTTACTATGTTCCAGATAGTAATTGGAGCATAGAGAAGTTTTTGCAGAAAGAAATTATACCAGAAAATAGAAACTATAAGAGATATTACAGTTGTTTAAGAAACAGGATTCACTCAACCCTGAGGAAGTTAGTTGGTAGAATAGGAAGGAAGATACCAATGGAGAACTTCCAAATGGATATATTCAGAATTGCCTGGATAGATAATAATCATTTACATAGTTGTATTTGAAAGACGTTTTTACCTAAACACTGAGTTGGGGTCTTGGGTCTTTGAGAAACCTCCTAAAACTCGCTCTTTTTTTTTTCTTTCATACAGGCACTGTTAAAGTTTCAGTGGCATGCTAAATTGGATTATTTGATTTGTTTCAAGTTAGGAATTGCTGTGTAATTTATTAATTCATTATTTTTATAACATTCAGCGTAAGTGTAGCAAAAGTTACTTATAGCAGAAGGGAGATCTGGTGTTGAATGTAATTTTGAAGTAGGGAATGGCCATTATATCCGAGAGAGAACATTTGAATCCTTTTCAGGGATTTATGTAGATATGTGTGTGTATGTGCACAAGTGTGCACACATGTGTATGTGTGTAGGTAAGTGTATATACATGATACATTCTTCTAATGTATATACATACGCACATTACATACATTTTAATTTATTGACAAAGAAAATGAACCAAATTAAGATTTAGAAAAGGGGGGTGTTCATGTCTTAAAAATAGCATGTTTGGAACTATCAGTTGTGTCTAAAATTAGCCGTAGTAAATGGATGTTGTCCATGTTGAGCTGTTTACTGTTTGAATTATAGAGGTCTACAGTATTTGTGTTGGCATAGTTTTTGTAAAACGGTTTAACAATTTCAGGGTGGAGGAAAAACTATATCTGTGTATTTTTGTGTTGGTGTGCGTTTATTTGATACCTTCTAACAAGTGGTTTATTTTTGTTGTCAATCTATCGAAGTATACTGTTTTTATGTTTATTTACTTAAGTATCATCTTACCACTTTTCAGGGTGTCTTGTACACAAAGCATATGTATTCAGGACTTTAAAAATAGCAGTACATGTTCAGCAGTAGCCATCTATGCCAAATCAAAGTCTTTTACATTCTGGCTTGAATAACTTGCGTAGAAGTAAAATGTTTTGTGCAAGGTACAGAGAAATGACCAAATAGCTCCTATAAAATGCCATAAATTTTTAAATAATACAATTGGTTATTAGAAATAATGTTTTAACTTTGTTATTGAAAGTCGCAGAACTCATGGTTTTAAGAGACACAATTTCCACCTTTTAATTTCTGATGGGAAAAAGGCCTTTGACTTTACATAGTGCAGTGATTACAGGCTCTGCTTTCAGGTGGCAAAATAGTTCTTATGAATGTCTCTGTTCCATTTCAGAGAAATTTTCCTATATCTCCATGTTGTCATTTTTACATATTGTCAATGTTTATATATTGAGTATATTGTCTCTTGCAGTTTCTCTTCTATTCTCAATAACTTTGGGCAAAAATTATGAACTCAGAAGTATGTTTTTCCCCCACCAGTCACTTAAAAACCCCCGAGTTTGCCAAACTGTCAGCCTGTCTCTTCGAAACCCTAATGTGTACTGCTATTTTTAAAACCAAAAAGTGACAGCATGCTATGTTTGAAACATTTTTCTTAGCTTTTCCTTTGTCTTGATCTGTTAACAAGAATAAAACTGCCAGACTTAAAACACTCCATTGTGTTAAAAGAAATACAATTTAGATTGCACAACATTTTAAAATATCATTCAGCTGTCTTTTAGAAGAGTTGTGTTGTTAACTACAGGACTATTTGCAGTCTTTTTTTTCCAGAGCAAATTCTAACAGCTAGTTGTGAATGGTTTTAAAATAGAAAATTACTGAAATCTTATTTTGGGGGTTTTGTAGAGGGAGACAAAACAGGACCAAAGTTTATGTGCCTTCTTCAGTAGTCTTAATTGACCTTTTCTTCCTATTTGAGACTAAGGTAGTATCAGTATTCTGGTTTTCAGGAAATATGTACTATATAGTTTTAAAGGAATGTCCCACAAACTGTTCGTATAAGCAAAGACTTGTAACTGTATAAATCAAGTCTCGGTTACACTTTTGCCTTTATCACGTAATATTCATTATAAAGCATTGTGCAGGTCCAAGAACAGCTGCTGTAACTCTTTGTGGTAGTCAATTTAGTTTTTTAAATGAGGCATATGTTCCAGAGAGGAGAGCAGGAAGGTGTGTCTAGCCCAGTGACCGCGTGGGGGTGATAGCCATGACAGCACACCGCTGTGGCAAGCTCATGTCAGCAGTGTCAACAGGTTGCTTTTTTGTTGTGTATTTTCAGTCCTTGGATCTATGTACTAGTAGTATAACAAATATTTAAATAGTTATTTTTTATGTCGTTAAAAATCATACTCTGGCCTTTTTTCCCTCCTTACCATTGTTATCCAGATCTTTTGAAAATTTATCCTACATCCAGGAAGTACTAATTATAGATTGCTGACTAAGCAAAGTTTTGCATTAAAATGTCACCTCATTGCTCTGACCAAAGACTGACTGTTCTGGTTTTAACTCCTCTCTGTGAAACATTTTCCCCCAAGCTCCTTTTTCTGAAAGAAGACCCAGTGTAAAGCGGCCTTTACTTACTTTTTTCTCTTGGTGAATAGACTACTTAGAGAAAATGGGAGTTTAAATGTGAACAGAATGGATTAGAATGGCAAGTGTTTGATGGGCATTTTCAGTACTGTATTTAAGAAAAAAATATATAGCACAGCTAGGAGCCTCTGATGTTGTCTCATGTTTTGTGTGGTCTGTTCATAAAAATTCCCTTTTTCAGTTTGTAAGAATGTTCATCTAACAGAAGAAAATGCTGTAAATATTTGTAACAACATTTTTTTTAACTGGGCCAAAAAAGAAAAAAAAGGTTTTTGGGAACAAGTTAACATATAAAGTGGTTTTATATAAAACATCAATTGTCTTGTATATTTTGATAAGCAGCAGTACCAGCTTTGATTTGTAACAGTTTGCGGCATTGGAAGAAAGGATTCTGTGATTGTTGAAGTGAATTATGTTATAAATGCAAAGAGAAGATAAATATTAAAAAACATATTTTCTAAATGCGTAGTGCATGGTTAATTCAAACTTCTGTACACTACAGTATATTCCATTTCGTTCCAGTTTGTATATTTGCTGACTATTACTTGATATCTCTAATCTCTTTTCCTAACAAATATAGCATTGTAGCATGCCTTTTAATAAATGTCATGACAGCTGTACTCTCTTAAAATTTTTCCGTGTTCTTGTCTGTACTTTGGGTTACCCTTTGTCTTAACTGTAATTCCAATGATGTCGTACTTTCTTTTTCTTCTTCATAGCTATTTAACTTGTCATAGCTACTGAGCAGTAAGCACATAGTCCGACAAATTTCAAAGTCAAAAACCAAAATCTGCTGCCTCTCTTTATTGAGGACTACTTCTCATTGAGGAGCAATGAGCTTTCTAGTCTTCCCACTGTACACCTTTTTCTGTAGTACTCTCTCTTCAGGGCAAGTGCATGTTAGCATGCTTCCTTGCACACTTTCTCAGGTGCATGGAAACTCTATGTGCGTTCTCTTTCTCCCTCTGTCTCTGTCTCTTTCAGATGTACAGTGCCAAACTAGAGTTGGAATACTTTGACCAGTTTAGTTCAATTTTTGGCTTCCCTATAGGACTGGTATGCACTTGGAGCCATTTGGTATGATCTCAAGGGGAATGGCTTTTTGTTTTGTCTGTTTCCTTTTTTTTGCTAAAGGGCTTATAAGTTCACCAGAGAGCAACAGAGATGAGAAAGCCTTTCCCCAGGGGGAATGGCCACAACACAATCCCTCTTCTCCATCTCTCTCCCCTTTTCGAATTTTAGGCTTGCGCACACACACACCTACCATGTTTCCTAACC